GGGGGGGGGGTGGGGGGGGTGTCCCTCCATCCCCAGTGGTGGGCCATATACACATACATATATACATACTTAAGAGACATGTACAGTGTCAAGGTCATGGGAGCAGACTTGTACCCAGGGAGCATACCCACACACAGTTGGAATTTCTCTCAGGCCTCCCCAACCCACCCTGAGCCCCTTCACAGTGAGCCTGGCTCTGGCTGCTACATCTGACTCCCGCTTGGCATAAGCTCGACTGCTGGGTGAATAAATGAATAGGAGCCAGAGGAGTAAACACATGCCAGGATGAGTGGGTCCAGGAACAGCTGAGTAAACCAGGGTACCTGGGAGTGAAGGAAGAGGAGAGAATGGATGAGTAGCAGCGGGAGGAAGGAGCTAGGGAGCCTGGCTGGGCGGGGGCATGGGCTCTGAGTCCACCCCATGTGGGTTCCCTCCTGGCTCTACAACACCTCTGTGGCTCAGTTTCCTCCTGTGCAAACTGGGAAGCGCAGCTGCGGTGGAAAGGGGTCGGGAAGGTGAGGATGTTAGAGATGCGCTGGCTGTGTCGTGACCTACCCAGTAGCTGGACCTCGTCAGTGATGCCGTAGACGTCGATGAGGGCCCAGAGCGGGCCGCCCACGGACACGCCGCAGTGGAAAAGCACGGGCTCGCCATCGTTGACGCTATAGAAGACACGGCCGTGGCGGTCGGCCCAGTAGGCCAGCACCGTGTCGCGCAGTGCCAGGTTCTCGGGCAGCGCCTTGGCCCAGTAGCCAGGCCGCGTGACCAGGTCGGGACAGGCGTACTTGGGGATGTCCTGCGCGCTCATGAGCGAGGGGTCGTGCGCCGTGAAGCCAAAGCGCAGCGCGCCGCTCCAGCCGGGGCGCACGGCCACCAGGCGCAGCCGCACCTGCTCGTACAGGCGGATGGGCCGCTGCGTGAAGGTGACTCCGTTGCAGAAGCTGTTGCGCCGCGTGGCCCGGCGCGAGTGGCCGTCCAGCCGCACGTTCTTGCCTTTGGCCTGCGCGTGGAAGCGCGGCGCCTCGCCCAGGACCGCCCGCCGCTCAGGACCAGGGCCACAGCAGGGTCGGGTGGCCAGGAGGCGCGCAGGAGGGCTGGAATCTGCAGAGATGAAGAGAGGGGAGGCA